AGAATGTTGGAGCCGACTACATGAGTAGGTTGCAGTGAATATGTTCTGTGTGTTATTATTACAAGGTTATGCTTGTGTGGTGGACTGTTACTGGAGTTAATGACTGTATTTGTACTGTTCTTAGTTGCTGCCAAAAACTTTTCTTATTGTTGTTGGTTAAATGTTACGTTCTGTGGACTCGGTGTTTCGACGTGAGACATGTCAACGAAGAAGCAGTGTGGTGCCATCGGTGTGTTGTGATAGCTTGTGTGGTGCGCATCGAACGACAGTTTTTCAACGGGAAAAACTTCTTCGAAAGGGGGCCATTGTGATGCGATGGTGATGCGACTGGTGCGCGTAATTGTGAATGATTGAAAAGTGCGCGAAATTAAAGGATGACCGAGTGCACGTGCTGGGTCGCCTGAACAACGACGACGCCGAGGACCGGTACACGTGAGAGCGTGGAGCGCAAGCATCCAAGACCATAAAGCAAACAAGGGCCAATGGCTGATCACCACGGAGTTTTGAAAGGCCAATCGGGACGAGACAAGTGTGCCCCAGAGGAAGCCAATCCTGAAGGGCAAAAGAGCTAGGAGTTCGAGGTGAACGAGGCAAGAGGAAGGTCACAGCTGGGAGCTGAAGACAGGCAGTCGGGTGGCAGACCTGAGCCTTCTGGACTTCACCCGGTCTGGACCTTCGGACAACGCCTTCCAAGGACGGCGAGCTGCCTCAACGGTCGAGACCAAGGCCTGCAGATTCCGGTGCGGGTGCAGCAACGGCAGTTCGGGTCACGGGCCTGAGCCTTGCAACCAGCCACCTCATCGGGCGAATCTGGGCCGCCACAGGCATCACCGAGCGAGTCCCGTTCCATCGTCGCCGCCAGCGAGCATCGGTACACGCCGTCGCCACCATTACAGCAGCAACGTTTTGGTGAGATCGAACTTGCTCTCTTCCCTGCACCGCCGAATCACCGCGTCAGAACTGCATCATGTAGCTGTGACTTTCCGTCGGCAGTTTCGGGACTTTAGATGTTTGTTTTCCTTCTAAATCCCGCTTTTAGCCAGCTACTCATTTCTTGTAGTTTGTGTTTGAGTTTTGCTTCAGTTCTGCAGTAAATGTTTAGGTGTTGTTTGTTAAGCAAACGGCTTCGTCTTTATTAGAAAAACTCTCCGGGGCTCAACCAGGAGAAACAAATCAGCAACAAGAACCCGCATCACAAACTTGGCGTCCGCGACAGGACTCGAACCTGCAATCTTCTGATTACGCGCACCAGTCGCACCAGGCGCAATTACGCGCACCAGTCGCATCACCATCGCATCACAGGGCGTAGTCACGTGTTATTTTTCGTACGTCGAGTGCTTCCTTAATCAGCCAGAACTAATGAGCTCGTAATTTGTATATTGCTCGAAATAGCGCAGTTACATGTCCTTTGAGCATACTTACATATGACTTATGGATATTTTGGTGACTATAGGCAAGCATCTGTTGAGTTATAAACGTATTAAGGCCTAATTAAGTAAACCCCATTAACAAAAAATACCAATGGCTACTACGGTATGCTGAGAACAAAATACGCTAAGTGTGTCTAAAGTAACGACGGTAATGCATGTTGTTGGGCGAGTTGGTTGATAGATTTTGAAGACACATTTAAACTGTGCCAAGAAGACATGTTAGACCCTCAGAACGATCACAGACGAAGCGCAGCGTGTGTGTGATTGTCTGCGCTTCGTATGTGATCGTTCTGTGTGTCTGACATGTTGTCTTTTTCATGCAGTTTAAATACGTAATGACAGACCTGTTTTTTTTTTAATAATGATTCGTGGTATTTTGGTCACCCTGTACGCACGCACACATACAAACGTACATACTAACACACATAAGAAATTTTCACGTGATCGTGACGTTGGAGGAGGCGGCAGTCAGCTTGTTCAAGACGAAACTCTCCATTCGGGCGAAGTATTTATCATCATCATCATCATCATCATCATCATCATCATCATCATCAGCCTGACTACTCGCACTGCTAGGCAAAGGCCTCTCCCATGATCTTCCAATCAACCCGGTCTTGAACTTTCTGCTGCCACATTATACCTGTGAACGTTTTAATTTTATTGGCCCACCTAATTTTAGGTCTTACCTTCATACGTTTGCCTTCGCTGAGAATCTACTCAGTTACTCTTAAGGACCAATGGTTATTCTGCCTACGTGCTACGTGCCAGGCCCATGTCCATTTCTTCTTCTTGGTTTCAACTATGATATCCTTAACCCCGGTTTGTTCCGTGACCCTCTCTGCTCTCTTCTTGTCTCTTAATATTACACCTATCATTTTTCATTCCATTGTTCACTGCGTCGTCCTCAATTTAAGGTCAAACCTCTTTGTAAGCCTCCAGGTTTCTGCTCCGTACGTAAAGTACCGGCAAGATGCAGCTGCTATATACCTTCCTCTTGAGGTTAGTTGCAGATTGCCATTCATTATCTGAGAATGTTTGTCGAATGTGATCCACCCAATTCTTATTCTTCTAGTTTTTTAACTCTCATTGTTCGGCTCCGCGCTTACTACCTGTCCAAAGTAGACATATTCCTTCACAACTTCCAGCGTCTCTACACCTATAGCAAAGTGTTGTTTTCTGCCAAGACTGTTGCACATACTTTAGTTTTGTGCATATTAGTTTTCAGAACTACTCTTCTGTTTTCCGTGTCAAGTTTAGTAATCATGAGCTGTAATTCATCCCCTGAGTTACTCATCAAGGCAACGTCATCAGCGAATCGGAGGTTGCTAAGATACTCTCCAATAACTCTTGTTCCTAACTCTTCCCAATCTGGAGTGCTGAAACCTTCTGTAAACACGCGGCGAATAGCATTGGAGAGATTGTGTCTCCTTGCCTTACACTCTTCTACATTGGGATTCTGTCACTTTCTTATGGAGGACTATGGCGGCTGTGGATCCACTGTCGATTTCTTCCAGTATGTTTATGAAGGGTTTGTCGATGCCCTGATTGCGTGGTGCCTGAATTATTGCTGATGTCTCGACTGAGTCAAACATCTTCTCGTAATATATGAAAGCTATGTAGAGAGGTTGGTTGTATTCCACGCATTTCTCTTTTACCTGATTGATAGTATGAATATGGTCTATTGTGGAGTAGCCTGTGCAAAATTCTGCTTGGTCCTTCGGTTGATTTAACTATTATGTCACCTGAAATGAAAAAAATAATTCTTTAGTTATTATGTTTGTGAATAGTTTGTAGAGAACGGAAAGTAATCTGATAAGCCTGTAAATCTTAAAGTCCTTGACGTCTCCTATCTCATGGATTAAAATGATGTTGGCATTCTTCCAAGATTCTGGTACCCTTAATTCTCGTCAAGATGCACTTCGTATATAAGGTGGCCAGTTTTTCTAACACAATTTCTTCACCATCTTTCAGCAGGTCCAGTTGTTGTCTTATTTTCACCAGCGGATTTGCTCTTTTCATTCCTTCTATAGGCTTTCCTTACTTCCCCTGTCGTTACTGGTTGGATGTCGAATTCGTCAGGGCTGTTATTGCTTCTTACAACTCCATCCTGGTTGTTTCGGTTTCTGCACAGCTCTCTGTAGAACTCCTCCGCCACCTCAACTGTACCCTATCCATATTGGTTATGACATTGCCTTCCTTGTCCCTTAATTCATAAATACTATTTTTGCCTATGCGCAAGCTTGCCTTCACAACTTTTAGGCTTCTGCCGCTTTTTTCAGCCTGCTCAATTTTCTCTGTGTGATACGTTCTGATGTCGGCTGCCTTGCGCCTATTGATTAACCTCGAAAGCTTCACTAGCTCTATTTTGTCGGTTGCATTTCAGGTTTTCATGGTTTGTCGTCTCTTAATAATATTTCTCGTCTCCTGAGATAGTTTGCCTAGTGTCCTGTCTAGTATCTGTACCTCTGACTTCTATTGCACACTCTCTGATGATACTAGTAAGATTATCGTCATTGTGTCAACGCTAATTACCTCGTTTAGAGCCTCGAATCTATTCTGAAGCGAAACTCGGAATTCCTGTACTTTCGCTCTCACCGCCAGTTTCTTAATTGGCTTCTTGCGTATCAGTATATGCCTTTGCTTTCTTTGTTTAATCTAGGTGAATAAGAGCTCTTACCATCCTATGGTCACTGCATCGGATCTTGCCAACTGCTTCTACATTTCGTACAATGCCTGCGTGTGCACACAGAATGAAGTCTACTTCATTTTAGTTTCGCCATTATTACTTCGACACGTCCACTTACGGTTAGCTCTCTTTCTGAAGAAAGTATTCAAGATCCGTAAATTAATACGTTCTGCGAACTCTACTAATAACTCCCCTCTGGCAATTCTAGTAAGCAACGCCATCTTCCCCCACTGCGTGGTCTTCGGCCAATTTCTTTTCTACTTTGGCATAAAGTCGCCCACCAGCATAGTATAATGTGTCTTTACTTTACTAACGGCTGACCCTACGTCTTCATGGAAGCGTTCAACCAAATTATCATGATGGCTCGATGTAGGCGCGTAGGACCTTCATCTTGTACCTTTTATATATATAGTGCTCCGGAAATGAGATCTTATAGCACAAGCAGTATACATGCTGTACACTCATAATGGTGAGAAATGTCGTCGGCCGTCGAGTAATCTGATCATCGGCAGATCGCGTCGTCTTTTACACCTAAGCTATCGAACCTTCCAGCTGGTACTCGCGTAACGTTTTCCAATAAACTTTACTAATTGCGCCACGCACGTTACCTTAACCCAGTGGCCTCAGACAATCACAAAGCTTCCCCAAAATTGCGGTGCGGTGTACACCGAGTGTTGAAAACAATCAGTTGTGTGGGCGAAACCCTAAATATTTTCAAATAAAACTGCCGGGGCAAGCACGGGACCGAGCTACTTGGCGAAGCACGGGAGAAGCTGCTTGCCGTGCAACGGGCGCAGTCATGGTTGTGATGGTGATGATGATTATTCATGCATTGAGGCGCCACTGTATAAAAGAGCACTCTTTTCATTGGCCAGGCAGTACCTCTCATCATGACCCTGCTCAACATACCCGAGCGCCACAGTGCCACCAAGACCGAGCTCACCTTTCCCGTCGAGTTGCCGCCGCTGGGATACTCGGCGTACCGCATTCACGGCGCAAAAGAGTGAGTGCCTTGCGGGGCATCCCGTTGTAGTGATTTACGTCTTGTGTGCAGTTCTCATGCAAGTGGCTGACAGCTGGACGACATCGTATGAATTCACGTCTAAGAAAATTTTCGTAGTACGCACAAGAGACAGAGACACAAAGGAAGGGCAAATGAGCGCTACCCATGAGCGTCGGCAGGATATTGTCTTGGGAAGTGCAAATTCCCGTTGCATTGTGGCTGGGAGAGGGGAAAGAATTCATTCGGCTTTGGTGAGGACAAGGGCTGGTGAGGTATGAGGGGGTCAGGTGCTCCCCTTTTTAACCTCCCTTCCATGCGGACGCCCATGACGCTACTTCACAACCGTTTATTTATTTTTACAGTAAAATCTGTTATGAGATCACAACAACGGTCGCGTGCTCCGCAGTTGTCCGCCGCTGCCCGTAACTAGTATCTTGCAAAGTGAGAAAAACCTAAGTAAATACAAAAAACACGAAGGACCCAATGGTTTGAACCCGGGTCCCTTGCGTGCCAGCGGTATTCTACCAGTGAGCCACACTGGTGCTTGACACTCCGTTGCAAACTGGCCTTAGGCAGGCTTGATGTTGAAAAAAGAATCGCGTTTGCATGAGTAGCGTTTTAGAAAAGCAACTGAACAACCAGGCGTCACAGAAAGCGAGTTGCGCAATGAGTGAGTGGTCGAATGCTCTAACTCATTAGAAAAGCTTCATGCATAATTCTTCATCGTTGTTAACCACAACATAAAAAAATTGCACAAGATTCGTTGCAAGTGTGTAGCGGGTACCAAGCTTCTCCGAACAATGACGAATGAGGACGTAGTGAATGGTTCGGGATACTGCCACAGGGATGTCTTTAGTTTCGTGTGTGATTTCATTCAAACTACGAAACGGGTACTATTTTAATGTCGCCTTTAGACATTTTTGTTATGAAATGCGATAATACTTAACTAATCTCTTCTAAGCTGTTCTGACCACGTCTTTACGGCAGTCTGATATATGAGGTCAATGCATATTGCTAGTAGTCTTATTTCATTAATATACGAATAATTTTCTTTTTAATTTTTATATATCTCCTAACATTTTCGCATGACCTCAGGAGGAATAGGCTTGCTTAAATGTTGTTTAATTATTTGTATTCTGCCCGTGTTCCACTTGACTCGCTGTGCACATCCCCTGTGCTTATCATTGGTGCTTGCATATCTAGTCTTTCTGAAAAAATACACTTGTGAGTTAGCGCTAGTTTGTTCCTTCTTTGTGTTCCCTGTCTGTTGTGCGTGCTAATAAAATTTTCCAGCATGATCTTTTTGTGTTTTGGAGGACCCAATCAGAGTTTATCTAATTCAATCTATTTGTGTTATAAAAAATGACCCAGAAGCATTACTTTTGCCGCGAGAACTCACTTACATGAGGTATCGCGGAAGAAACGGGGCACAAATATGGTCACCTTGGGCGATATATAAGGATCAGTATGCTCATGAAAAAAAAAAAGAAAGAACAGCGCCGAATTCTGACTGGACACACAAGATGACGAAGGCGTGACAACAGCGCTGTTGATTCTTTCCCTTTGTGTCTCGTCTGAATTTAGCGCGTTTCTTTTTCTTCTATTACAAGCGTGAACCGACTAGCCGATGTCTCAATCCCAACAGTATGCTCAGCTAACTCGTCCACGCATTCTCATTATTCTGTCGCATACGGTCAGAGGCGGTCGCGAGATGCCTGACTTATAAGTGTCAGTCGTTTTTCCTCTGCAACAGTACACCTTGACTTGCGTACAAATTTTTCTGCATGACATGCGACTTCAGAGCTTTCGATAAGAAGATATTATTTTTTTAGACGTCATAGTGCCATGGTGTTCAAGTTGCATATTATATGTTTTGCAGATGCGTGTTGTACGTCAATTTCAGCCGGTGCCTTATATACGTGCCAACGTCTCCTTTGCCATAATTTCGATAAAATTCAAAGTAGTTTCGCACTAGTAAGGTTGCATTAGAGGCTAGTTGGTACGTATTCATATTTGATGCAATGCCAGGTACAACACGGGTCGAAAAAACAGCTCTTCTTTTTTACATGAATGTGTTACCGCCATGGTCCACCATGGCTCCGTGACGTATTTCCTTCACGGATATGAAGTTGTAAAATAATTACTAGCAGATTAGAAAGAAAAAAACGAGGAGAAAGGGTTCTGTAGAGTGGCGTCGAACCAGCAATCTCGCACTCCTCAGAGCGCGACGCTAAGCACTAAGCCACTAGACGACTTCTTTCCAACATGTTGACGGCGAGCCATTTTTATACACCATGTACCGCTGACGGTCGTCAGAGCTCGGAAACTTTGGCGTGTTTTGTAATCGGTATTGAGATGGCACGACGGGCGCGCGCGCTTTAAGGGCCTGACCACACACGTCTGTTGCAGCGCGTCAGCGCGTGACTTTCTGACGCAGCGCCGCACCCTCCTCCTATATGTTGAGAGAAGGCACATGGCTTCGCGAAGCTGCGCGCTTTCCCTCTCCGTAGGCACTGCGCCGTGCTCCCGACCGGGTAGCAGAAATTAGGTGCCTTTTCTCATCTCCTAACCACTACCACCACCGTATGAGAGAGGGATGGTTAATGCATTAATGAAAGGAGCACGCTGCCCACACACGAATTGTGACAGTTGTTTGCCCGCGCTTTTCTTGTGTGGGCTCATTTCGTTCGTGCTTTCTGCTTGAGGTGTGCTCTGAAAGTTTCGAGCTGCTTGCCGTTCTTCGCGCGACATTGCGATTTGTTACTGCAACATTCATTATTTCACCCTTGTGGCGAAACAATGCACAACGAATGTCCAAGTAGCCCTGCGAAGACACGTTTCACCTTCGTGTTATCCCGATTCCTAAAAGAGGGGTCAACCACGTCATCTTTTTCTCTCTCTCTCTATTTTTCGGTATGCGCGTCTTACCCGACAGAACATCAAAACATGAATCTTCGCACTATAGGGCCAAGCCTGAAGGAAGTGCGGAGCTGGACAGCTTTGTTTGTTTCTCTTCGGTTTATCCTCCTCTCTTTCTATTTCTCTTCACTTCTATTTCGCTTCCCATGTTGCTTTTCTTTCTCCCTTTTTCTCGCTTGGCTTGCTTCCCTTTTTTTCTGTTTTTATATGTGGTTTTGCCTGCGTTTCACCATACGGCGACGACAACAAACGACAACCTGGGCTCCTAAAATGCACCGCGCTTTTAAAAAAGAATAGCAGAAACTTGATTCGCACTGAATTGCATTTCTGTAATCTTTCTAACCCCTACGCAACGCACGGTAAATAAGAAACGCATTCGTGTGATATCGGGAATTATCACGTTTCAGTTTGTGTGAAGAAAGTATGCACAGATTATCCCAAAACGAGAATTTTTTACTGACTTGTCACGAATAATGCACTTGCAGAAAAAGAAGAGATGCATTTCGCTTCAGCCTCCTTGGAATTTCTGCTGCTGGAGCCCGAGCAGCGATTCGTCGAAAACGAGGTGAGCTCACAATGACTGACGCACGCATTTAGCGAGTGAGAACACGAGTCACAAGGGACGTTTACTCCAGAGAGAACTGAAGCGGGGCGAAAAAACGTATGGCATATTCACTATTGTGAACCCTGTGGAATACAGTCGCGCGCCATATGAAGTATAATGTTTGTGACGCAACTGCCCCGCCACGGTGGTCTAGTGGCTAAGGTACTCGGCTGCTGACCCGCAGGTCGCGGGTTCAAATCCCGACTGCGGCGGCTGCATTTCCGATGGAGGCGGAAATGTTGTAGGCCCGTGTGCTCAGATTTGGGTGCACGTTAAAGAACCCCAGGTTGTCGAAATTTCCGGAGTCCTCCACTACGGCGTCTCTCATAATCATATGGTGGTTTTGGGACGTTAAACCCCACATATCTATTGTGACGCAACTCAGACAAGTAAAGAAAAAGGCAGAGACAGGACAGAGCTGCAGGTCCTATCTGGCGCCCTACCCTATCTCCTCTTTTTTTTTTCTTTGCTTGTCCGAGTTGTGCCACAAATATTTTATATTAAGCTATGAACTTTCAGCTCGTCCAAGAAACTGCACTCGCAGTATAAAAGTTATCGCACGAGCGTCGACTTTCCTAACGACCCAGGCGCCTAGTGGAACCTTTCGGGACTGTCGAAACCAAGCTTGCGAATTCTTCTCTCCCTCATTGGCTGTTACATGCTCCAACAGTCGCTTCTACAACGAACTATACACCCTCTCTTTCTATTTTGAGCCTTCCGTTTGTTGCGATCAGCTTTATTCTTCGTGGGCTCCTATCTGAGCAAGTGGTTACAACGTTCCTGTGAAAGATACGTTAAAGCTGGCACTTGGATACAGTGTACTAGTACACTCTAACTTGGCACTGCTTCGTTAAATCATCTTCATGAGACGGGAGTGGTCGCAGCTGAAGGAACAGCGCAAAATGTGGGCAAAGCCTGCGTGATACCACCCTCTCCTCGAAAGAGTGTTCCGGGAAGTTGCGCTGTTGTAGCTGTTGATCAGATAACTTCCACACCGAGCGTGACTGTACGTAGCGCGGGCACCCAGCGATTCCCGTTGGTGTACAGCCCCCCCCCCCCCCCCCCCATTCCACTTTCCTGCGTGTCGACGACGCCAGTGGCTGAGGCAGGTGAATTTCTCTGGCACGAGTAGGACTGTGTTTGGGGTTAGATAAGCTAACTCGGGTGCGACACGCGCCTTGTAGATTAACACAATTTGCCCTTCCAAAGAAGCTTCACTACTGATAAATCTGATAAAAACAAAGGATATTTGTTCAAGTTATTGGCGTATACTTGCGAAGTGCCCACTACGTGTCCCTAAGGCAACACGCGAGCCTACACAGCTGCTCACTTGTTTATGTTTCTGCTGCTGCTGCTGATTACTAAGTATGCCTCAGTGCTTTGTAATGGCTGAGCATTAAAACACCCCCTTGTTGCGGCATTACACGTGTGTCGACGCCAGGTGGGATTCTACGCTTTTGCCACGCTATATGAAATACATTAAGGTGGCTTCTTCTGTACACTACATCGCACTCATATACGTATTTTTTAAGCAGTTTTGAGCAATGGCGAGCCTTTGTGGTAGAACTCTTGCTTTCCACGCAGACGGTCTGGGTTCAATTCTCAATAAGGCCGAAGATTCTTATGATTTATTTTCTGTGCACTTTTCTCGATTTTGCGCTCATAACCAACGACACCGACACGAAACGGACATCGACGCAAGAACTTCTGCGAAACGAGCTCTTTAACGCGATTGCATCAACATGCTGTGCTAATGATTAGTTAAAATCAGAGATGTATGATTAAAGGAATATTTTGTTGCGTAAAATAGAGGATAAAACTTTAAAATGCATATCACTTGCACACTTCTGCATCACCGATTTTGTCCCACAGCATGACACGTGATTCGCAGGTGATCTCTTTTGATATTAAACCGAAACTAGCCATTCTGAAGCGACGTCAACTACGGGAGTGATTCACTAGAGGGGCTCATTAGACGTATCATCCTCACCACCATCATGATCATCATCATCAGCCTGAACCACTGCAATGCAAAGGCCTCTTCCATGATTCGCCAGTCAACCCGGTCTTGTGCTTTCTGCTGCCACGTTATACCTGCAAACTTTTAGAGGCGAAGTTCATTAGTGTGAAGGCTTTTTTACCGTTGTCCGCGGTAGCCACCTCTGGTACTCGGAATGCTCACTAGATGGCACTTCGACGCTTGCTCCAACCATCAGCTCGTTCACGCGGCAGCAACTTGAGAGCGGCGCGAGCGAGTTTATCGGCGAAGGGCTCAACCGAGACCTGGCCTTCATGCGGGCCGTAACCCAAAGAACGCCGCAAGGAACTCTTTGTCATAATTCGACAGCTAGGCAAACCGCACGCGTTCTTCACACATTCTGCCGCGGAAGTACACTGGGACAGGCTGCTCGAAACTCCGGAAAGGCTGAGAGAGAGATTCATGGTTTTACCGATGTACCTCTGGAGCTTCGCCCACTTATCATCATTCACTCTGTGGATATGCTGTAATTTTCTTTTAATCTCATAGGCCCACCTAAATTTCTCTCTCCCCCTCGTGCGTTTGCCTTCCCGCGCTACGTACGCGTATATACTGAGTTATTATGCATATATACTATAAGCTAAAATTACTGCATTTAAGCAAAGCCTAAGAGGTGTTATCAGTTACGAGGTAAGCGAAGGAAGCGGACAGCCTGCCAAGCGAGTGATAGGTGTATGCGCGCAGCGCTACCGCCTCGAGCTGGACACCACCAGCGGCCTGGTGCGACGCGTGACTCTCCTCGGCCAGGAGAGCGGCGTTTCGCTGCGCCAGTCCTTCTACGCGTACAGCGTCGAGGCCAGGAGGCAGACGGCGGCCACCGCGGGCGGGGCGTACTCCTTCGACCCGGACACCAACAGGCCCCTGGATCTGGGAAACAAGGTCACCTACCGGGTAGTGCAGGTATATTGATTGATTGATTGATTGATTGATTGATTGATTGATTGATTGACGAGTGATAACAGCTGCCGCCACGTCCTGTGTACGACGTGCCATGTTATCTTAACAAGATAGTACCACGCGCCACTTTCGTTTCATTTGGTTTTCGCACACAAAGCCTGTCAGGAGTGCTCAGCGCAAACTGCGGCTCACTGTTCGAGAAGAATCACGATTATTGTATATCGTTCTGTTAAGATTGCACGCAAGACACGAACACTCGGGATTATTTCAGAGCTTGCGCGACGACCAGTGAACGCTAGAATATTCGACGGCAAATGTATAAATGCCGACGCGCTTCACCGCTTGTCAGTTGATCGACGGCGGACGCTCTGTTCACCGCTTACTGTAATCTGAGTTTCCGTTTGCCGGTCACAAGTTCGGCCCAATGAGCAGTTCTAATCTGAACATCCAGCTTGCTACCTTTGCCCACTTCATGACCTCGTGACAATTCGATAACCTTCTGTTTCAGTTCAGAAGCTCACGAAAAGGCTTCGGCCAATCTTAAGATACTGAACAGAATTTTTGCGACCATAATCTTCAACCATATTGAAAGCTGGGGTCCTGAAATTGATAGAGACAATTTTCATTCCCCAGAAAGTACAGGAAAATGATGAATTTCGTGCGTTTTTCACAGACTGCCGCGTCTAGCGGCATCGGTGTGAACTACGAGAGGTGACGTCACACCCACTAGAAACGGGCAAGCACAAAATGCCAGCCGTCACCCACGTCTCTCAGCTTGCTCATCTCCCCCTTTGGTTCGCAGAACCGGTATGAACGGCACCGGTTGCGGACAATGCATCCGGCTGAGCAAAGCATCGGCGCTTTCGTGGAAAGGAAAGAGTGGAATGAAAGGAGTGGTAGAGAAAAGGAAAGAAGACAAGAATACGTGCACCCTGCATGCGCCTCGGCGATTGTGACGTGATGGCATCCCATTCGCGGGCAGCCGACCGCGCGCTGACAATCCACCAAAAATACAGTCCAACCTGTTCAAAAATACGGGAACTCATGTTCATGAGACCAGTCGCATCTTCCGAGTATAATTTCCAAGTTTTCGCCAGTTTTGGCACTTTTTGTTCAGTATCCCTTCATTTCCAGTGGTAACCCAATGAATTATTTGACCGGAAACGACTTGGCCCTCCAGGAAATCAGACTGGTTCAGCCCGATTTTCGCTCAGACGTTGAGACACGTTGAACCGGCGGACATTCGCGAAATATGAGCGTGGCGTCCGTCCACTGGCACCTGCCAGGCTGTGCGGTTGTCAGAGATACACAGTCACCAGCCTTTACCACAAAATTTTGTCGGTATCAAAGTCTGTCCAGTACAAGACGAATCAATTCTTGATGGCGGCCGAAATATTCGAAGTGGATCATGTATAACACGGCTGGAGCAGTAATTGTTTCTGGTACTCTGCATGTTCTCGCTTCTAAGCATACTCTGTTTCAACTTCTGTTTTGCCATTTGCCGTATACAGCGAATCACCTGAACAAACAATTGATCCTGAGGCGTTGTGCATGCAAACAAAATGACAAAAGAGCGCGCTAAATCTCCTTAATGTTTAAACGTTTCTGTAAGATTTCTATTTCATGTGTGGTCGGGCTTGTTGGCGCAGGGTCCATTTGTGACGGAGGTGCACCAGATTTTCGACCAGTGGTTGTCGCAGGTGATCCGTCTGTACAAGAACAGCCAATTCATTGAGTTCGAGTGGATTGTCGGACCGCTGCCGAGCGGGTAAGCCTTGATTGATTGATATGTGGGGTTTAACGTCCCAAAACCACCATATGATTATGAGAGACGCCGTAGTGGAGGGCTCCGGAAATTTTGACCACCTGGGGCTCTTTAACGTGCACCCAAATCTGAGTACACGGGCCTACAACATTTCCGCCTCCATCGGAAGTGCAGCCGCCGCAGCCGGGATTTGATCCCGCGACCTGCGGGGAGCGGGTAAGCCTGGCCAATGGTATCCACCTTCCATAATCCCGTTTCGAACGAAAAACGGGCCTGCGTTTCTGAAGAGCCCCTAAAACCCCCCGAGGTCGGAAATTAACTATAGTGTAGCACTTGTGCAGGATTCTTCCACAAATACGCAGCCACGGGACTTATTCAAAGTTGTAACGTAATAGCGGAGTTACTCGTGTTTGCTGATCAAAAAAGTGGCCCCCGCTCACTTCTCTTCTTCATTCGCTAAGCGCGTTCATCGACTCGTCTGTACTGAAATTCCCCAGATCTTTTTTTACGTGCGGAGTCACGCGATGTCGCGCTTCGGCGTCGGCGCCGTCCACACACCCACTGCGCATGCTCGCTCCCCTGCCCCCCCCCCCCCTCCATTCGCCTCGCAAGGCCGACACAGGAAGTGTCTGCTAGAAAAAAGGCCAACTGCTCGCGCTGCGCAACCGTTCCCTGGCCACCCCGTATATGTAGGCACTGGATCGCGCGTTCGGAATTCAGTCAAGGGCGCCTTTACTTGGCTTTCTCTTCACTTGACACTTTGCTTTACTCGAGCAGATACGATGAAAGCAACAGTACCTTCAACAATTAGTGGGGCACAACCCAATATCAGCGTCCCACCACTCATACTTAGAAGTACTTGTTGCTGGGCTAGTTGGTTCATCATTCTGAGGGAAACTTCTAGATGCCTAAACCACCACAGGAAGAAAGACACACAGAGAAAAGAGTATTTCTAAAACACCGAGCGCCTCCACCTGTGGCAAAATGCACGCTTCGATGTATGTGGTTTGCGTGGTGGGTGTGATGTACTTAATCCCACTTTGTTGTGGTTGGATTTACATCGGCCAAACTAGATTATGTGTGAACGTCAGAATTAGAGAACACAAGCTTTCGATTGGAAATAATTCAGGAGCACATTTGCCTGCGCATTGCCGTTCCTGTTCTTGTGAGGCGATGTTTTCAAGCGTTTCTGTCGTCGCAAAAGGCTCAGATGTTGTGGCCCACGAAATAATGGAAGCGTTATAGATAAAGAGGAAAAGTGACCTTTTTATAAATGACACGTCAGTCGTTTTGCGCATGTCTGAGTTTGATTTTCGCGCTTCGTTGCTTGACATGCCTTTTGAATGTCCTCAGTTTTTGTTTGTGGTCATGTGACTAGGTGAAGTAGTGTGTTCGCACATGTGTGGTGTGGCTATATATTTCCTGCGTTTCTCCTGCAAATAAATCAGTTGCGAGTTGACGCTATTTTTTCTGTGTGTCTTTCTTCGTGTGGTGGTTTAGGCGGCTAGAAGTTTCCCTCAGCCCCACCACTCGTTGAAGGCAACGCTTCCCCTTCATTCAATGAATAAGAATAATAAGCACAAAATGACAATTAAGCATTCCCAAATTATACACAATTACGCAACATTCACGCGATACCCCACCATCGTCTGAAACGTATTTAGTCAAGTTCCCCCCACGGAAGATGCGGGCGGCTTTTTCTCTTCTGTTGCGATCCCGATTGAAGCGCCACCGACGAATCTCGTTTGCTAATGCTCGTTTTCGATAGCCATGTTTTTCCTAACACTTTTCAAGCAGCCGGGTGAAACGCGCCCCACTCACTAATGACGGGGTATTGACGGGAATAAAAAGACGCGTTGCGTCTGCATATCGTCCGCTGAAAGATGCGTAGCAATGTACTTAGACGTACGTGGCTATGGAAATCTTCCAAGTTAGGAAGAACATGACGGCAAACAACGGCTGCGTGTGAGAGAGAACCGGGAGAGAGATCACTCGGTGCTTAGACAAAAAAGGAAGAAATTTAAGCACTTTAGCCTCGCTTACTAAGGGCCTTTCCACGCGCTATCCGCACAGCCGCAACGCACGTGCCAGAATCCCTGCCGCAACCAAGCGGAGGGTGAAATAGCGTCGCCGATTCGCTCACTTGCCCGCCGCTTGGGTGCGGCAGGGGTCTCGGAACGTGCGTTGCGGCTGTGCATGCGGAAAGCGCGTGGAAAGGCCCCATTCCTGGTCGCACGTTGGCGTACGCGCGTACCAGTGAACAGACAAACAAGTTTCTTTTGTGGATGATATGGCCAGGTGCGAATGCTGACGTCAAGGCCAGCGTTGGGGCACGGCCGGACTAGAGGAGCGACATGCTTGCACTCTCTTACGGCCCGCGCTTCGTGTCTAGTTCCCACCTTTCACCGCCGCTAGTTCTTGGCACTGCGGCCCGATCCTCACCAGACCGGCCGTGCCCTCGCTAAGGGCCGTTTCACGCGCTTCCCGCACAGCCGCAACGCACGTGCCGGGACTCCTGCCGCACGCAAGCGGGAAACAAATAAGCCAATGGGCGACGCTCTTTCACCCTCTGCTTGGGTGCGGCAGGTGTGCCGGCACATGCGTTGCGGCTGTGCGGGAAGCGCGTGGAACGGCCCTAAAGCCTCTTCACCTAAGGAAACGACATTCTCTTCTGCGCGCTAATTTTCTCCTCGATTCAAATCCAAACTCGTGCAGCAAGCGTGGTCGGCTTCGCTTGGTCAGAAGCAATGAGGTGGTCCGAAGCGAGGCGCTGACTGATAAAAAGAGGAAGGAAGACGGTTGACTCAAGCGCCCCCACTAGTCGATCGCTGCAACGAGCTGTGAGAATCTGCCCTCTAGTCCAGCCGTGGTTAGGGGATACCAAAAGGCCCGGAGGTGAAAAGGAATCGTTTCTTTAGAATTGTAATGCACCCGTAGTTTGTAGAGTTGCCGCGCGACAGGAATTCTGAACTAGATTGACGCGCGTTTACTTAAATATGAAAATATTACCGGAGGTGGCTAAGGAATAAACCACGCGCCGCACAGTTCGGGTCACTTGCGCACTTAGGTGGTGACCTGTGGCAAGTGCTGTGCTTTCTGCCTGCATAACTCAGCGAGTTTCCTGATGACTATGCCTTCACAACTTGCGCCCTCCTGGTGTGTGCAGGGCAAGCACGGACGTGACGACGCGTTACGAGACGTCCTTGGACAACGACGGCGTCTTCTTCACCGATTCCAACGGAATGTTCTCCGTCATGCGAAGGTCCGAGCCCCGCGAGTATCGATTTATTATTGAAACGTGTGCTACTTTAAATGTAATTCATTATGGCTGATCCGTAACAGTGTTCAAGCGGCCCTGCAACGCTTTAACAAGCTATAAGCGAATGACCTCCTTAAAAAAGTTCATTGCTTCACGATTCGACCACCGCAAAAATTTGTAGACTGCCAAGTACGAACGGAGTCAAAGGATTCAAGTTCTTCCTCTCTCCTTCAAAACTAGCAAAAGCCCTGAACGATACTCAAGAGACGGATGGGTAAAGGAGCTACGTCTGTTCGAAAGCGCACGTCATGGCTAGGTCGCTCTATATCTATTTATAGTTATGGTTTTCAGCACTTTCGTATCTTTTTATTGCGATAGCAATTATGTAGGATACTCTCGTATATATATATATATATATATATATATATATATATATATATATATATATATATATATATATATATATATATATATATATATATATATATATATATAAAAGCCTACATGCGGGCACGAGGTTCGCGGTAACTGTGCAGTTCACGATGCTCAAATCAGCGAATAGGTTTGAACTTAGGGCGCGGTCCTTTGGCTTTATGGAACGATTCGTCGAGAGAAGAGCGAGCAATTGCTGACTTTGAGAATTAACTGTAAATTCCAAGCCACGTGCTCCGCTCTAATGTTTGACTCACGTGTTACCACGAGCCTCGATTACCGCTCGGAATGCAGCGTTTTCTGACCACCGTGGGAAAGTGTTGCAGGGTCCCCTAATACATGCAACAAGCTAATTGAACACACGTAAAGCCAGTGAGAGACTGCAGTGTAACATTGGACTTTGGTTCGCGCAGAGTGAATGACTCTCTCGATCCCAAGTCAGTGGCATCCAGCTACTATCCGGTAGTTTCATGGATTTACATTAAGGTAAGACACATCAAATGCAGCCTGTCTCATGCAAATGGGGCCAGGTTTTTCTCCCAACAGCCTCTCATGCACTAAGTGTTTGGAAATATACAGACGCCCAATTTTAGGTGCGAAGTATCAGGGGGTAAGTTTGTATGTGTGTTCTGCTGTCACGGTGCGTCATGTAGTCAGGGTCCGCCATAAAACGAGTACGCGCCATAATGGCCAAATTCCACTACTCACCATCGGCCCACTAAATATGAAGAAAGCAACAGTTAGCCCAACAACGGCTTTATCGTAGCTTAAACACCCTTCCCTAAAGGGAACTGAAATCGGGCATGTAGGGAAGAAGAACCCCGGTCTTGTAGATGTGAAAGAGACAACAGCTAGCCCAAGAAATGGCCGAAGACCTTAGTGGAGCTGAAAAGTATTTCCCTGCGTGCCGTATGAAACTGAAAACGAGCAAGGAAGAAGCACGACCACCAAGCTGCACAGCGACGTAGTTTCCCGACGACGTTAAACACTTTTTCCTACATGCCGGTTTCACGCTTGGCACCATGAGTGAATTATCAAGGAAACTTCCCTCAAAACGCTGCATGCTTCACCCCTTCACGTTAGTGGAGCTGGAACACCCTTCCCTACACACTGCTCCCGTATACTCCGTTTTTATTCTGTGGTAGGGAGGGTGGTCTCAACCATCCAAGGTCGTTCCCCGAATTCCGTGATCACGCATGCTGTATTTCTTGGCAGCCCAATTTTCATCTTTCCTTTGTCCACTTGCTATGCCATTTAAAATTGCCACTTTCGCAAGTGAGCGTTCCTTACAAACATCACTGTGTCATCAGTTTTGAACAACGCTTCCTTTGTCCTCACAGAACCACGCCGAGGAGCTGCAGATGACGGTGATTCCGGACCGTCCTCAGGGTGGCACCAGCTTCGCCCAGGGCACCATTGAGCTTATGGTTCGCATTAAAGTCATCCTCATTTTCTCGGCAATTGCATTACCAAAACATAGTTATGGCAGAATCAGCTCATGTTAATGATGAGAATGTCGCGAAATGTTCCCACGCGCATAGAAATTCCGCTGTTATAGACGCCAAGGTATGCACTGCTTAGACGCCTCAGTGATTTCCGCACTCTTCCCTATACCATACTCTCCTTAGTCTTTTATAAAACAATGATTTTGTGCTATTGATTGCCAAAAACACTTGTGTCCAAAATATGTTGGGAAAGAAGTGTGTATACACTTCTTTCGTTTTTCCGTGTTTGACACAATATTAATGAGATGTAACAGACAATAATGCCAAGGAAAGTATAGGGGAAGTTGCTAGACCGAATTGTAATGTAAATGAGAAGAAAGAAATGTGGGTAAAACATAAATGCCCCGCCGCGGTGGTCTAGTGGCTAACGTACTCGGCTGCTGACCCGCAGGTCGCGGGATCGAATCCCAGCTGCGGCGGCTGCATTTCCGATGGAGGCGGAAATGTTGTAGGCCCGTGTGCTCCGATTTGGGGGCATGTTAAGGAACCCCAGGTGGTCAAAATTTCCGGAGCCCTCCACTACGGCGTCTCTCATAATCATATCGTGGTTTTGGGACATTAAACCCCACATATCAATCAATCAAATCAATCAGGTGGGTAAAAATATAATTTTCCGAGGGCTGGAAACGAACCTGCGACGCTCGAATAACGCGTTCGATGCTCCACCACTGAGCGTTATTCGAGGGTCGCCGGTTCGGACTTGGGTCGAGCATCGAACGCGTTATTCGAAGGTCACAGGTTCAGCCCACGGGAAGTTATCTTTTCACCCACTTTTCTTTCTTCACATTTACCTTACAATTCGGTCTAATAACCTCCCCTATATTTTCCTTGGCATTTCATTAACATTGTGTCAAAACACAGAAAAACAAGCCCTAAATATACTTTACCTTTATATATTATATATATATATATAATATATATATAATCATATATATTATATATATATATAATATATTTTAGGTTAATAAATTTATTGTTTTGTTCCGCTGCACATCTCGAAGTTTTAACTTTTATTCGTTGCCGCAAGAACCTATATCATATATACTAAAAAATGCCCAAACATGGTCATGAACGCACAGCAGATTCCGGAATTCTCCCGGCGAGAGGGAGGAGCCTGAAAGGGGAGGTGGGGGTCGACGACACAGTCGGTCAAGAACCGGTTCTCCCCGCAACTCCTCTTGCTTGGTTCCCTAGCGCAAAGCCAGTGCGTTGACCTTTGTTTTCGCTTGGCTGCAAGGCCGTCTCAGGTGCAGGCTATCCCGGGAACTTCAGTAAAACTTGCGTTGGGTCTAGTTGGTACATAGCACAAAAAAAGAAGTTAACTTCTTTGGCGCAAACAATACGGAAAAAAGGAAAAAGAAGGCGAGGAAAGAAACAGATTGACGCCAAACTAACAACTACTTTATTCTTCACACAGCAACGCATATATATGCCGAAACCACATACATTGCATGCGCACGCACAGCTTCGTATCGTATACGTAAAAACGAAAAATTCCTAAACCTTAACACATCACACCACACACCTGAATGTACACGCGTGTTGTCAAATTACACTTGTAGAACACGATATCTTAACCAAGATGTGTACGCAAAAATTCATATTCGATGGCATGCAAAGAAACGGAAGTATCACTGATACAGTCAGCTCCGCTTTTCTTAATATGATAAGCCTCCAAAGCAAGTCTTGCATCTTCATTCCTGCTCCTGCCCAGAATCATCGTATCATGAAACCGTGGCGAACATCCAATGCAGGATTGCAAGTGAGCAACAAGATGTGCCCCTTTGTCTACCTTGTTAACTATTTTTTGCGCATGTTCCCTAAGACGCTCGTTTATGCAACGTCCCGTTTGCCCGATGTAGATCCTGCCACATACCAGAGGTATGCCATATACCACACAGGTGATGCAAGAAATAAAGCAGACACCGTGTTTTATTTTGCACCCAGTTTTGCTACTACCGCAGGTGCGGGAGCACAACTTCAAGAGTTTGTTGGGCGCAGAGAATACCAAGGAGACCCCATGCCAAGGAGACCCCATGCCGTAAGAAGGCGACATGTGAACGTGATACGTTCAGGCCTGTTGTGATACCTTATTTACATAAGGTCACACATCAACTCAAGAGAGTTGCTAACAGGCATGGGGTCTCCTTGGTATTCTCTGCGCCCAACAAACTCTTGAAGTTGTGCTCCCGCACCTGCGGTAGTAGCAAAACTGGGTGCAAAATAAAACACGGTGTCTGCTTTATTTCTTGCATCACCTGTGTGGTATATGGCATACCTCTGGTATGTGGCAGGATCTACATCGGGCAAACGGGACGTTGCATAAACGAGCGTCTTAGGGAACATGCGCAAAAAATAGTTAACAAGGTAGACAAAGGGGCACATCTTGTTGCTCACTTGCAATCCTGCATTGGATGTTCGCCACGGTTTCATGATACGATGATTCTGGGCAGGAGCAGGAATGAAGATGCAAGACTTGCTTTGGAGGCTTATCATATTAAGAAAAGCGGAGCTGACTGTATCAGTGATACTTCCGTTTCTTTGCATGCCATCGAATATGAATTTTTGCGTACACATCTTGGTTAAGATATCGTGTTCTACAAGTGTAATATGACAACACGCGTGTACATTCAGGTGTGTGGTGTGATGTGTTAAGGTTTAGGAATTTTTCGTTTTTACGTATACGATACGAAGCTGTGCGTGCGCATGCAATGTATGTGGTTTCGGCATATATATGCGTTGCTGTGTGAAGAATATAGTAGTTGTTAGTTTGGCGTCAATCTGTTTCTTTCCTCGCCTTCTTTTTCCTTTTTTCCGTATTGTTTGCGCCAAAGAAGTTAACTTCTTTTTTTGTATCCCGGGAATGCGTCGACGATCTCCCAGAGGGGTTCGCAAACCTTCGGAGAATCCCAACGCTGGGGCCGGTCGTAACAATATATATATATATATATATATATATATATATATATATATATATATATATATATATATATATATATATATATATATATATATATATATATATATATATATATATGTGTGTGTGTGTGTGTGTGTGTGTGTGTGTGTGTGTGTGTGTGTGTGTGTGTGTGTGTGTGTGTGTGTATGATATTTCAGCTATTTTAGTCAGAGTTTAAAAATATGCCGATCCACGCAATTACGACGTGATCAAATGCGTGTTAATTGTTGACCATTGCCAGGAGTTAGTCAGACTATTTTTTGTGTTCTAAAATATAGTTTAATTACATCTCTTTAATTACCTAACCTTAAAGGGACAAATAGGGATAAAAAATTCAATGAGAAATTTGTAAATCGATTCACAAAACATCCGATTAGACAGTTTCGAACATTACATCTGTTAATTATTAGTGTTTTAGGGGCGAAGCTCCTTATGGCGTCACCAGTTCGTCTCCCATTATCGTTTGTAACCACCGGTGGCACATATGCGAGAGAGCGGGTATGTGCCACAGGGGATAGACTTTTAGGGGCGAAGCTCCGTAAGTCGTGCATCCTCGATGTATGTAATAGGTAGCCACCTCTCGTTTAGTTATTGGAATGTCCGCTCCATGACGGTACTTGTATATAATCAATATATGATGAAAAGATGCTAGATGGTGGTACTTGGAATGTTCACTAGACGGACGGACATACATACAGACGGATAGACCCACGGACGCACAGATCAACCCACGGTAGGACGGACGGACACTTCGCCCCACTCATCATCATTCAGTCCGTGGATATGTTGTGATTTTTTTCTGCTAACTGCGATTGCGCGCAAAATACAAAAAGATACCATATGGCAAACACGATCGCGTGCCAGTGCGCACGATGATTCTAGTGCTCCCTAACGTTCCGCGTACGAACGACCATAGCATTTGCCCGATTGTGCTGTTTCACCAGGATCACAACGATGGTGGTAGCTTTGCGACAAACACGTTTTGCTATCGGCCACAAAAGCGATCACCGCTGTGACTGCTTATCGCTGTCATGAACCGGTGCGAACGAAACGTATCGTTCGTACGCGGAACGTTAGAGAGCACCAGAATTACGGCGCGAGTAGGCGCACCAGTGGGGTTGTCACGTAGCATTTTTTTGTATTTCGCGGGAATTTGTAGTTAGCAGAAAAACACTAATAATTCTCAGATATAATGTTCGAAACTGTCTAATCGGACGTTTTGCAAAGAGATCTTCAACTTTGTCATTCAATTTTTTATCCATATTTCATATTCATATTCAAACATATCCATATTCGTTTCTTCATAAGTTAGTTAACTAAACAAATCTAATTAAACAATATTTTAGAACACAAAAATAATCTAACTCCAGGCAACAGTCAGCAACAAACATTTGGTCGCGTCATAATTGCGTGTGTCGGCATATTTTTAATAGCTGGGGCACCCCGCGCATATATATATATATATATATATATATATATATATATATATATATAATGAGTTCTAACACAATAACGCCAAGGAAAGTAAGTATAGGGAAGATATTAGACCTAATTGTAATGTAAATCTGAACGAAGAAAAGTGGGTGGAAAGACAACTTACCGTGGCTAAGAACCAAACCTGCGAACTTCGAATAACGCGTTAGATGCTCTACCATTGAGCCACCACGGCGGCTATCCCCCCAGTCACTTTATTGGGTACATATGTGAATTTCAAACGTGGGAGTGTCAGTCAAGGACATCTGCAGCCATGGCAGCGAGTGTTGATTGATTTGTGGGGTTTAACGTCCCAAAACCACTATTTGATTATGAGAGACGCCGTAGTGGAGGGCTCCGGAAATTTTGACCACCTGGGGTTCTTTAACGTGCACCCAAATCTGAGTACACGGGCCTACAACATTTCCGCCTCCATCGGAAATGCAGCCGCCGCAGCCGATGGCAGCGAGTGTGGCACACTCTTTATGAGCCTGTGTGGCGTCACGTAGCACTTGAACTTATCACGAGCTGGCAGTTGACCGATAATCCCTCGTATACAACATAAAGGCACCATGTCTGCCAGTACTAGACCCTCGCTAATGAATTAAGGAAATAAGTGTATACTCAAGGGCTCGTTTACCGTGTTTTGACACGATACGGACAAAAGGAATAGATAAACATAGTGTCACAAGCTTGCTAGCGATCATAACCGCGCTGTGTCTTTTTAAAGCTTTTTCGCTTATTGCACGGGCATGCATGTGTGTTTCTCAACGACGATCACGTCAGCAATCACTATACCCTGCTCAATGGACCAACGAGGCCCCGTTGCAGTCTTATTAACTCGTTCAACAGCTAGGCACGAAAAATGATGGGCAAAGCTTGATGTGCTCGCATGCGCTGGCTTATTTTGAAGCTACACAGGCGGTATTTCATAGACGACGATCTGGGCGTGGAGGAGCCTTTGAACGATCGCGGAGTGAACGACGAGGGCATCATCGTCAAGGGACGGCACAGGCTGCACCTGGGAACACCCAAGGTTTGTGTCACGCGGCGAAGCCAGCCTGTGCCCTTCTTTAATATTACCCTTATGTTGCAGGAGGCAGCTGACCTTATGCGAAGAGCAGCGCTGCAAGAGGTGTACCGGCCCGTCTACATGTTCTACCCTTCGCCTCTTCCGGCTAACGCCAGAAAGCAGGCGAGCGACTCTTCACGGCCTCAGCCATTCCACTGCAGTCGTCGATGTTCACTATTCACTACACCGGGCGCAAAGACCTGACCGCACGCACACGTATCAGCGCGTGGCTTTGTGATGCGGCCTACCCAACTTCGCTTAGCCACGTAGGCGGAGGGCAAGGCGCTGCGTCAGAAAGTCATGTGCCGATGTGTGGTCAGGCCTGTACACCTGGGTCCCACATCGCGGCTTTTAGTGCACGCCCGAGTCATGTCATTGTGAATGACCATGCCAGATCACCAGAGCGATGCAAGCTCCAGCAAATCTGCTGCTTTCGATGTTGAGTATTCCATGCTCCGACTTTCTGCCGCATAGGCGTCAGACTCTATCCAGGCGGCGCTGCGAAAAATGCCGCCACCAGCGCCTCATCCCCGCGCCGGCCATAAACAGGTAGTGTGCAAAGAGAGCCACCCGCAAGCGAACGCGCATAGGCCTTCCTCTTTCATTGGTCTTGAAACGCTGTTTCCTGAAAATCAAGGACCTGGCAAGCTTCTTCCTTTCATCCAACCTCGCTTTAGTAAAGTAGGAAGGTCATCAAAACGAACTGCGGGTACAGTCCAAAAGATGTTTCGGTTATTTCGCTGTGCTACAACTGGCAATTTAAGAGCAAGCGGGCATCGCATGACATCAAGTTCGAGACAAGCACTAGTCCGACGTGCCTTCTGTAACGCCTAGATGCGTATGCGTTAAACTTGGGCATACATATGATGTCAAAGCGATGAAGTGCATACACAAGCAATCTATCTTACAATCAGTGGTACGAAGCTCGCTATATCCGCCACGAATGGCCCCGGCAATTTTTACCTTTGCAGCATTCTCCATCGATCTCGCTCTCTGTGCGTTGAATTGTTTTATTACGCATACTTGACGGTTGTCTTACGTTTTTATATACTGCAGATGGCGATAAATGCGTGTCCACTTTCTCACTGTACAACGAAAGACAAAACTGAGGCTTCCGAGATAGCTCCGGCAATGGCGGAGAACAATGGGAACAAAATCTTGATTATGGTTGCGATAATTTTGCGATTTACCAGTATGACGTACGTATTCGCATTTTCTAGTTAAAGCCAGAACTTGAAGTCTTCAAAACCGTACGCGCGTAATGCTGTGCGCTGGCGAGAACTTCAGATTATTGGTGGTCGCGGCGTGTGCGATGTTTGCCTCGCGCGTCATCTGTCTACTGTTGCATGGCACACATTGTTAGGCTCTGTTAAGCATCATAATCAAACTTATCACGATTCTCCTTCAATACTCAAAACAATAATAGGAGACCTACATTATCGAACTTCCTCACGCGACTGCCTGCGGAGAACGCGAGAAATTTGCTTATCCAACACGTTCGCAACGGCCCGTATCCAGCGCTCTCGCCATTCTGTAACAAGACTGATTGTTGGCCTACTTGGTCCCTGCTTAATGACATGCTTTGGCCACAAATAACACAAACACAAGTAAAGGAACACACAAGGACAAGCACAAGCGGCTTCACGCAAGCTGCGGAAATCAGTAAAGCGGAAGATCTTTACGTCCGCGGCGATTCACAACGCTACAGTAGCGTCGACAGGGGTCTTTTTTTTTCGTAGAGCGTGGAAGGAACTGGTGCGCCTGCTCTTCTTTTAGCCGTCGTTCTAAAAGGCGGTTCAGTGAGAGAAACTCTCGTGGAGAGCAGTTAGTAGCTCTCCTTCCAAGTGTTAAATGCGCAAACACGCCTAATATATTGCTCAATCATTGCTTCGTACGCTGTAGTTGCACCTGGTTGTGCAGAAAACTGTGCAATAGTCGGGCTTTGCACTACTCAAAACTGCGTCGACAGGTGGCACTGCACAAAACTCCAGAGTGATGATTCCCCTACGTCCAGCCCATAAATGGTACAGTTACACAAATAAAGAACTTCATCAGAGGCCTATGCTGCACAACGTGGAAGTAACAGAAAAAAAGAAGAAAAACTGAAATATCGATGAGGTCATTTGGCATCGTTAAAAAAACGCTTAACAAAAAAAAGTTGAAGATGAAGCTTTCGATACGACGACAACGCTAGCGTTTCTTCTGGCTGTGTTACAAAGGGAGGTAGGGGTGCTGGAATACAGTTTTGACGGGCTTTCTTGACGCCAACTGATACAGCGGACAAGGGTGAGGGCAGAGAGTGAGTCTGCTACCCAGGCATTTATACGTCCGACGCGTGTAAGGCGTGCGGAGCCAGAGCGACGCTGCAGCACATGCTGTGGAAGTGTACCGGTAACGCGCAGCAGTCCTTTACGAACCCGGTAGACATGGCGGTCTCGAACCGCGAGGCGCGATGGGAGGCGGCTCTGCTCAGCCACGACCTTGCCGATCAACTGTGGGCCGTCCGGCATGCCCAGGATGCCGCCCGGGTCCAAGGACTCGAGGCCGTCACCTAGGCCGGGGTGCTTGTAGCCCCACCCCGCTCAATGACGCCGGACATGTTCAATAAAGTTCTTACTCACTCACTCCATCCAGTACGAGCAGAGTTACAAAGATTTGTCACACGCTGCAATCGCATTCTCTTTTCTCTCGTCCGAACGAAAGCGCTGGAAGCTAAGCAGGGAGGGATGGGAGGGGCAAAGAAAAAACGTCACGCGCGCCTTGTGACCTTGAGCACTTTTAAAGACGATAGTCATTCTTGGGGACCTTCGACGCCAAAATTTTGGTCTGTCTGTACACTTGTCTGTTTGTCCGCGGTAGCGATCTTCCTAACGGCACCAAACGATACTTCAAACGGCCAACGCCATCCACAGCGCCCACCAATATTGCTCAAGTTTCAGCGTTCATACTTGTGCAATTGTCAATTAAAGAACAATTATTGCGCATATCTGAGGCACCATAACAACACGTCGATGTTTTGCATGTGTGTCTATACTAGAGAAGGCACACACAAGCAATTTTAAGGACCGTAGCGTTTATCACGCTGCGCTGACAGTGCAACGCGATGCTCAAAAAGGCAAGTGTTTCCAACGCTTTGCTAAGACCACACGGTGGTAACACCTGCCCGTCACTTTGCGTTCTACACCTTATCGCCTTCGAGACAGGCGCGTACATTTTTCCGCGGGCGCACACGCCTTCCTTCGTTATTGAAGATAACTGCCAGATGGCGCTCGTGTCTAACGTGCATCGGTGAGCTCGTTCGCCTTTGCTGCACGGATCAAGACTCTCTAACGCACCGCTTCCATAATGCAATTCACCAATTTTCTCACGCAGAACATCAAATTAACGTTTTGTTCACTCTCTCCACACGCAAGACTATCGTCTTTCGGCGACATTTGCAGTGAAACATGCAGATACGGGGCCATTTTTTTTTTCTTCGAATACGCCAAAAAAAGGGTAAGTCACGACTCTTCGAGTCGGGACTTGACCTTTTTTCGCGAGATTTCCCCACTCCCACATTACTGCTTATGAGTAAAAAAGGAGGCTGCAAAATATGGAGCAAAACTGGAGCCCCCCCCCCCCCCCCCCCAAATTTTTGCCTACTCTCCCACCCCTTTTGCCCCCTAAGAGAAAGCATCGTCAAAACACACCTCATATTTTCCGCTGTAGGCCATAATGCTGTCAGCCCGTGTGCTCAAGATTTGGGTGCATGTTAAAAAACCCTAGGTGGTCGAAATTTCCGGAGCCCTCCACTACGGCGTCTCTCATAATCACAAGTGAATTCGGGACGTTAAACCCTACATATCAATCAAATCAATCACCTCATATTTTACCAGCTTCCTTGCAACCCAAATAGAACTCATTCGTCGTAAGTGCCCCCCCCCCCTTCCCAGTAAAAAAAAATCCTGGCTCCACCCCCATGACGCCACACGGTTGTCACTCAGGTGGGACAGGCCATTTTCTTTTTGGTCTCAGCTTTTCACAACCGCCTTTAGGGTGCTTTCTTCCCATCCTCCTCCTGCTTTCTTTAGGTGTGCGCTTTAGCCAGCCTAGACAAGATATGCTTTGAAACTAAATCTCACATGGCCCCTAATGCATTCGCCTATGCTGCTTGAAGCAGAAAACTAACAAGTGTGGCTGTTTCACCAAGGGCAGTTTACATCCCGACACTATTTCTTTATATATATTATTCACACAAATGCCGTAAAGACGAAGTGAGCACGTAACTATCATGCCTCGATCTCCGAGATGTGAGGGTGGTCATGTGACTTTTTGTATGGTTCCGCATTAATGCCGCCATTTCCCTCGAAGTCACATTCGAATGAAATCGTTAGGCCTTCGCCTTGTAAACAAAACTGCACAAGTGAGCCAAAGCCATGAGGCCTAATAAAGACGTGCAGCTGCTAGAAAACACGATAAAAGAAATTCAAACTTGTGGCAAGCAGAGCACAAACAGGGCTGCCTAAATATAGATTCCAGAACATTTTGTACACTGGAGTAGTGGGGAAGTTCCGTGCACTGACCCACGCTCTTCAATTGTTTACTGGGAAACAGTTTCGATTTCTCTTTAAAACACTCATAGTAGATGAGAATTACCTAAAGGTATAAACCACAGAGACAAGCCCCCTCTAACACTGTAGATGGTGTATGTAATCAGCGTTTGCCGATTTGTTCACGCAGCATTCAGAGTTGCGCGTAGCCCTGCCTCCTGGCGGCCACTTAATGACCCTGGAGGGCACAGAAGACAACCGGACTCTGGTTCGCATCGAGAACATCCACCAGGACCTCACCGTCAACGTGTCCGTCACGGTGCGCTTTGTTTCATTCCTGTCTACCTCCCTCCCTTCCATGGGTGTAAAGTTCTATCGATATGCCGAGCTCTTTCGAATGAGCTCCTCCTAATCATAATTTATTGCCCACGTTTACAGGACTAGGGTGCTAATGAGATGAACATAAGAAGTGGAAAGGACTTATGTTCATCTCGTTGGTGCCTTATTCTTTCCATTAAAATGCACCAACAAGCACCCCCAAAAATGATCCGCACGCGTATCATTTGTCTCAAAGTTGTCTACTTAGTTATATTTACCTCCACAGAACAAACTTCTACATTATATTTGCAAACTTCACCATCTACAAATGCTGCGTGATAATAAGTATGGGCTCACTTTTTTGTAACAGCGTCTCCTACATGCTGCTGTAACTCGACCCATCGGAATCGTTAGCTTAATTAAGCCCTCACTCAACACTACTATAAAACCTGGTTTCACCTACCCAGTATACGGACGGACATGACAAAGCCCTTTCAGTACTAGGCTAGAGTGCATCATCTCATGCTTGGCCCTTTTGCCTTTCTTATTGAAAAGAAAACCAATGCCTAAATTTTCGTCAGGGAGATCAGTTTCAATTTTTCGCATGTGTCAACATCATTTAGCGTCTTACACAAGTCTGTTGGATAATAGTCCGAGTAAACGTACTCAAATGCATGCAGCACCTGCTGCACTCGTTCCTGCTCCTAGATGCCCGTGAGACGATGCTGTCGGCACATCAGTACCGCAGCGAGGTGCAGCGGCGTCCGTGGACACAAACAGAAGGAAAGTATGTGGCTCCCGACGAGTCTGCCTACCTCATGCAGCAGGTGCACGGAAACATGCTGGTCAACATTCAGCCAGGACAAATCCGCACATTCTTAGCAGCACTCAAGGCTTTCAGCCTACCGACAGCCTCCAGGGTGCACCAGTGAGAACCATAGATGAAGTCAACGGCGAGGTTGGGGAGTTGTTTAAGAGACTGAGTCAAGCATAACAGCTGATAAAGTGTCTTATAAATACTCTTGAGTACTAGTGTCTCTGGCACTATTGTTTATGCCAGAGACTCTGGCATAGTGTCTATGGGAGTTGCAATGCATGGCACTTTAAACAGCATGGGAATGATGGGCAGGACACGAATTTGTCTAAACTTTGTTATTTCGGCCTCATTTGGCTTCATGTGTCTTGCATTCCCCTTGTCCCAAAATGCAGTTCAGCAAGCGTTTAGAAGTTCAAATTCACTACCTTGACCTTTTTAAGCTAATTCAAATCTGGCAGCGAAGTTCACGCCAATCCATTCTTTTATCTGAACAAATGTCAAAACAACAATCAACGAAGCCACAAGTACATTCAAAGCCTGCAGGCATGAAAACTAGGCAAATCAGCGTAGTATTACCCATCATTCCCATGGTGGCTGAACGATCACAGTGCCCGAGTTCTCTCTAGTAAATATTGTAGAAAACTAAACAGGAACGAAAACTGTTCAGAAATCTATTCTATGATCTGTGGTGGCTATCACACTACTGCTAACAATGCCAGAAGTGCACCTTCCTTTCAATCCAATGGGGAAGAGAACTGTAAAGAAGACTGGGCCACCCAGAGGGATGGGAGTGCTGGAAGTCAAACTGTGCATTGAGCGAGGCACGCAAATAAATATGTCACTGTTGTGATCAAAACTTGGAATTTCTTGAAAATTTCGAAGTTCCTCCTAGCCTTACACTTCTGCCGCTGTTCATATGTCCACCTGTGAGCAAGCCAGTGAACTACCACCTCTTTTCATAGCCGTTACATCCACCACCACTCATGTCTGGCTGAGCTTGCCAAAGTCCATGGCAACAGCCTTAATGATGGTGATAAAATAATAAGAGTGCCATGGGCAAACCATGACTTATGAAATCGTATGTCATGATTTAGCTAACCTCACAACAACCCCCTAACGTGGGCAAACCACTGATGCTTAAGGTGCTGCTTTGTTCAACTTAATAGTGGTAATTCCAAACAGCGCATAATGGTACACAGAAGAGACTACAAAATACAGGCACTGTGTGTATGGTCTCTTCTGAGTCCCATTTATACACTGTGTAGAATAACTATGGGTACGTACCAACAAGACCACCTAGCAACCTTTTTGAAGTTAATAGGGGTCCTTGTTCAGCAGCACCACGTTGTACCATGCTCCACTAGGACCAAACAAAGCCATTAGTATTTGCCACTGTACCTTTGAAAGGCAAACGCAGGTGCACAAAGTATGAGAAATTACAAAAAAGACGCATTCCCAGAGTCAAACAGTTCAGAAAAGGGACACTTTTTCAAATCACCAAAACAGAGGAGGGAGGAGTCTGCTCACAATATTACGATAGTTGCGTAGAATTCTGTACTGCTTCGCTAAGGAAATGCCTCACATTGATTGCAAAATGTAGAAGTATTGACAGAATAAACTGGAATGCTGGATACCAGTGAAGCATGCTGGCAAAAAAAAAAAAAAAATGCCAAGCACCGAGTGTGTTCAGTTCTTTTGTAAGAATGCCTCACTCTTTAGTGTATGTACTAGTTAACTTAGACTGATGTTGCCTTGTGCCAAAAGGTTAGTACTATTATGTGCCTCTTAGCATAGGCACTGTCCACCGACCAAAGGCAGCCGTGTTTCTTGCACTGGCAGTCCCGAGTTTGCCGACATCGCATGTATACTCCATGTAGCACGGCTCATGAAGGGAGGAAGACACGTGCATTGCGTTCCATCTTGACCAACCCCATCTTATTATTGGTTTTCTAGGCTTGGCGTTGCAGTCACACAGGAAAACTTGCATGCATGGCGCCCGTAGTGGCAAGGGGGTGTACGACATACTGTACGTGATTGTGTGTTTAAGCCCAAATCGTGCACATTGATGTGCTTGGTCACCATCTGTATTTTTTAACACCTCTAGCGTAACCACAGTCCATAGTGCACAAGCACGGACCATGCTACAGGCCCCGATTCCCCAAGAATGCTTTTCGCAGTGCTAAGAGGCACTTAGCGGCAGCCATCTAGTACAAGGAAATGCCGTTTTAAATGCACAAGGGAGCGAGGCTCGCTTACTAGGGAGACTACTAGTATGTATGCAAAGATGACGGCTTTATTTTTATGCTGGCAGTTTCATTTTTATGCCAGCATGTTTCACCGACAAGTGGCAGCGTGTCCAGTGTGCCAAAAATTATTCTGTGATCGCCTGTACATTGAAACTGCATAATTTGTTTTTTCAAAGATTTGAGATTCCAAGTTGCTTCTTTGTTCAGCCATTTTTGTGTGCTTCTCATGTCTGAAAAAGTGAGTTGGTGACTAGCAACACAAAAGTCTTTTTCTTAGCTGCAGTGCCCTCAGAAAGCAGATTAACTTGTTTGTAGGGAACAGATGCCTTATTATGCTGATTGGTGATCATTATCATAACCAAACACAGCTGAAAATCTACACACTATAAATGTAGTATTGCGAGTGATACGAGCGGGAACACGTAAGTGCGTGGCCAATAGCCTCAAACTTGCATTTGAAGGATACTCCGATATCGTTGAGAAAAATTAAGTGGAAACTGCGATACTTTCCTGCTGTCACTCACAACATGCGTCTTTTTTTGTTATTTCATGCAGGCCATATGTTTTTGTAGTGCAACTACCGTATTTAGTCGCGTAATTCTCGCACTCGCATAATTCTCGCACCCCCCACATCGCCCAACAAAGATACGATTTATTTTTTTCCTCGAGTAATTATCGCACCCCCGAAAACTGCTGGGATAACGTCGTCTGCTCTTTCCAACTAGTGATGATGATAGCGCATGCTATCTGGCGCCATTTCTTAAACATTAAGAGTACTATTGCACAGAGATTCAATCTAATCCAAGCCAAGACGAAGTAGTCAGTGCACGTTGGGGCGTGTTTTGTATGTTGTGTCGGTAATCTTGTCACGTTATGAGGTGATACTGAAGCTGTACAGCTGCTTTCAGGTTGCAAGTGATAGATCATGCACTAAACAACGGCAACAGGGCCGCCGGTAAGCCCTTCGGAGTCTCAGAGTTTTGCGTTTGCTGCTGGTGACGGCAACTGAAAGCCACCAAGGCCCATTGGTTCTGCCGTGTGCCTAAAACTGGGATTGATGGTAAACTTTATTTCTTCAGAAGGAAACTGCGGACGATTCTGTTAAATAGCCATCAGCCCAATACTGACATCCCACGCTTACCTTTTGAGGGCTCCTGTTGAGCGCCGAACGCTACCGCAACATCCGCAAGCTTTGCGTATGGTACTTCAATTCTCGACTGTTTGCTTCCACTTTTTGTGTTTCCAATAAATATTGTCTTGTGTTGAATCTCTTTATTGTTGAGGTAAGTTTTAATTAGTACTTCTTAAAGCTTGCTTAGTTGCTGGTGTGAGAATCCCAATTTGCGGCCACTTCGTTTTTTTTTTCGCTCTGTATGTTTCGGTAAAAAGTTTTCCTCGCGTAATTCTCGCACCCCCCAACTTTTCATCGGTTTTCCGGCAAAAAAAGTGCAAGGATTATGCGAGTAAATACGGTAGTAGGAGGCTCACACGAATCAAAGAGCATTAGTGTTTCTCTGAAACCTTATTTTGGTTTATCTTAATATTGTGTGTGTATATGTGCAGAAGTGAATAAGAAAGTGGTAGGTTCACACGGTGCTATAGACTATTTCACAGGTGCATTCTGCTTGGCATGCCCACTTTATAATAAGCAGCATGCGAGACGCAGTCAGCTTGTACCAGCACTAGTGAGGACGGAGCGTCAACTGCTTAACCTTTTCCGCTTTGTTTTTGCCATCAGCTGCCGCAGAGCACCCCAGCACAGGGTTTGAGGCTATTTTCATACAGTCCCATGTTCCCACTCATAATTCTCACGGTAGTACGTGGAGCTGGGCTCCATTTATAATGCAAATAATTTGCTAACAACTAGAAGATTCCATGCTAAATATGCCCAAATACTGTGTCCAGCTCGAAACAGATGTGAGAAAATAATTGACTCTAAATATGCAATGGCTATCATTATTAGGTAACTGTTGCACAAAATTTTCATGACATCAAGTAGTTGGAAGGAACATAGGATGTCAGTCAAATTGCTACTGCAGGACGGTTTGTAGCCGAACATACAAATCAAGACAAAGACTGGTGCTGGAACGCTTTTTATCTCAAGTGCAACGTAAGAACAATACTACATGCCACCCAAATCGGTGCAGACGATCTCACCACATGTGGGTCTCCCTTATTTCACCAATAATTTGGCTCGCTTTATGCAATGCCTGCAACAAACAACAAACAGAAACACCTTCAGTTGGTAGGCTGAACTTGTCACACCGATTCAATTAGCAGCCATTTCTATAACTAACAAGATTTCATGAGATATTGAGAAGGAAATGTTCCTAGATCCAATGTTTCAACAACTTGTCTTCATCAGGGCGACAAAATATTCTTGCCAGAACGTTGTCCCTTTCAACTATTTCTCATTACAACATGCCGGCACCTTCCCTTGAACTTTTCCCTTTAGTCACGAGATCTATACATCAAAGATGAATTAGTAGCAGCATAGGAAATATAGGAATCAGATGTGGGGCTTACTGTTTGCACATTCTGCAAATTAGAGAAAGCACCACAATCGTGTAGCAATATATATTTTTTTAATGACTGCATGCAAGAGACATTTATTTGAACATGGGATTTGTTTTGTTTGCTGTAACTAGCGATGGAAAAGAAAAATGCAAGTTGAATACTGAGCTAACCCCTTATACGCTCAGTTTGCATTATTCATCATGGCAACACAGGTACATGTTCTCATATTGACAACAATATCCCGCCGTCTTAACTTTCTTGCAACAAAGTATCAAGCTGATTGCAATAGGTTGTTCTGAATTCGACACATTCATCAACAGTTGACATGTCATTATGAAGGACGTGCCTATAGAGCATTTTCGCAACTACCCATACAGAATACTACAGGCCAAATTATGCTGCAAAAATATAACACATGATAGAGTGGAATTCTCTTCCTAGTGCGATGATGTTTATTCGAACAGAGAAGTCGCAACGGAAAATGGGCGAACGGCAAGTCTGGCAAAGGCGGCACAGGTTCTCGCGCAATCAGAGCACGCGGTTCTTCGTTCTCTTTTGAAGGCGAATACGCGTTAGTGCATATGCTCCATTACAATACCCCCGGGGTGAAGAGTAGCCATCCTGGCGACTCAGGGAGTAGGCACAATGAGAAGGTCGTAGTAGGGCTTGAGACAGTCTATGTGTACGGTCTCACGTCCTCGACAGCGCAAGTCTGGCGATTGTGTTAGGGGCTCGATGATGTAATTCACTGGCGAGGTTG